ATTCCTGTCAAAAAGTGAATTATGAATTTCTGTGTATTTAGAAATTTGAATACATTTATCATATAAAATAGATATATTTTTAGACATGGGGTCAGCCCTATCTCAACTTAACTTGTGAGAAGTCACATATTTAAAAATGAGATCTAACACAAATTCACCCCAGGTTGGCCCTCAGACATCAGTTTGACATGTAAAAAGACAAATAAACACAACCTCACATTTGTTCTAAATTCCATTTGGATATAAAACTGGTGTGAATTCACACCCTAGATTGTAAATTCTTTCTGTTCTTATCTTGTACAAGGATACTAGTGAATGACATGATGTGTTTGTGGGTACATTATATTCTCTACTATTCTCTTATATTATGTACTACCTGTTCTACATTTAATTACATTATAATCTCCATTACTACATGTACTACATTCAATTACATTGTAATCTTCATTACTACATGTACTACATTCAATTACATTATAATCTTCATTACTACATGTACTACATTCAATTACATTATAATCTCCATTACTACATGTACTACATTCAATTACATTGTAATCTTCATTACTACATGTACTACATTCAATTACATTATAATCTCCATTACTACATGTACTACATTCAATTACATTGTAATCTCCATTACTACATGTACTACATTCAATTACATTGTAATCTTCATTACTACATGTACTACATTTAATTACATTGTAATCTCCATTACTACATGTACTACATACAATTACATTGTAATCTCCATTACTACATGTACTACATTCAATTACATTATAATCTTCATTACTACCTGTTCTACATTTAATTACATTATAATCTCCATTACTACATGTACTACATTTAAGTACACTGTAATCTCCATTACTACATGTACTACATTCAATTACATTGTAATCTCCATTACTACATGTACTACATTCAATTACATTATAATCTTCATTACTACCTGTTCTACATTTAATTACATTATAATCTCCATTACTACATGTACTACATTCAATTACACTGTAATCTTCATTACTACATGTACTACATTCAATTACA